CAGTCTGCTGTTCTCTGGACTCCCCCCTGTTCCTTAGTAGCTTTCTGGCAATGAAACCCCTAAACTGATCACAGTACTCTAGATGTGGGCACAGGACTACAACCTCTCTGCTTGGTGGCCAGATATGTCCATGCACGCAGCCTGTATATACATTAGCTTTTTTTCTGGACACATCTCCTTAAACTCACAATCAATCTGCTCCTACTGGCAACTGTAGGTTTTCCGTTTTCCAAGTGTCCCCTGTCATCCAGTGTCTGTTTCTCCTTGAGTTATACACTCAACTCTTCCAAGCAACCAAATTTCTGTTTTTCTGCCCCACTTCTGCTCTCTCATGCCCCCACGCTGCCCTTGTCTGTGCCTCCTCCCAATTCAATATCCATTGTGAGCATCATTCTTGCAATACTAAGATTCCTAACCGTGTATGAAACTCAGGCCTGCCTCATTTCTCAAACTCCTCGGTACAAAATGTTAGCTTTTTCAATCCTACCGCTGAGACTGTCCTAAGAGGGAGTTATGTCCTAGGGAGGCAGTAAAGGATTAGCAGTCAGGAGCTCTCAAGTTAGGGCTTTATTTCTGGCTCTCTCTTTAATACTGAAAAAGTCATTTATCTTCTGAACCTCTGCTGGCCCCTCTACAAAACAGGAGCAGCTCCTTACATCACAGAGGGCTTTGAGTAATGATTCATGTTGGTAACGAACTTGACATTCTAAAATTCATGTCTGTGTCAGACGTTATTAACAAAACTAAAGACGCCTTCTTCTAGAGATTACAGATATTTTGTTTACTATCTGTCTTTATTTGACTCCTGACAAACTCAGTGGCATCCCAAAGGTACCTTCTTCCTAGTGGGTAAAGTATCTGTTTTTGCAACCTGAAAAAAACTCTTCCGGTTTCCAGGTCCTTGCAGGGGATGCATGGATTTTTACACAAGCTCTGATCTTCAGAACTGACACTACAGGCTGCCGTATCTCTGTACATTGCAGCCAGCATTGCTGTGAGCATCTCTTTGTACCCTTCCGGCTGCACCCTCTCAGTGTAATGAACTATCATGGGTAAATATATTCACGAGAGCAGGGCTTTCAGCCACATGCCCTCCCTTGCTAACAAGACAAAGAACAGGAAACAAGGACTCTTACCACTCGGAGACACCATGACTGGCTCTGTCAGTCTTAAATCATCATTAGGTGGCAGATTGAGGGAGAGGATTAAGACCATACCAAGGCCTGTTCCAACCCAGAGACAGGGGGAGAGAGCAGAGTCATTCTTCCGGGCAAAGGACTCCATGAAGTACAAAGATGTGATTGTTTCCTTTGACTCCTTGTCAATGCTGGAGACACTTGAGCTTCGGGAACGGCTGAAGGAGTTTTCCCGGTTTTCTGTTTAGACAGGGCAAATACAACAAAGCAGATATGAGCGGGCAGGACCAGAGCGCATGCACATACATGAGCATGTATTTGCACAGAAAATGCAAATGCCTGAGTACAGGGATTATTTGGCTTGCTGCAAACTGGGTGAATATTTTGATGCTTGGTATTAATTTCTTGGTGGTGCAGAAATAGCAGCGTAAAGATGCAGTGGAATCTCTCCAGCTGCATGTCAGAAATAGCTGCTTATTACAGAGATTTACATAAACTAATTGGAATTTGCTCCAGTCTTGGCTCAAAGGACCTCTTTTAAGCTGCATGAAATAATTCCAGACCCACACGTTACAAATCCATGTAAAATTAAGCCATGTATCTTGTCTTTATGGGGCAGGAAGGAAGGGCTCAGTGCCAGCACTGCTGTCTTGTGGCCTATGTCTCACACAGGGGTACTACTTACGTTGAGTTTAGAGCAACCCTCCTTTGCTTGTGATACCAGCAGCAGCAGCTCTTGGGGAAGAGATTTTCTTGCCCTTCACCTGACCTTGGTTTTACTTATTGTGTAGGAGCAGGAACATCTCTTAATGCAAATCAATCCCACCTTCCTACTCAGTGGAGTGAAGTAATCATCACTCAGTTCCTGAGCCGAGTTAAGACAACAGTACAGGATTGAAGGCTTGGTACTAGGTTGAAGGCAACAGTGACTGTCAGTTAGGGATAGACACATACTGTCCCCTCTCCCAGCTCATGCTTACAGGGTGAGACCCCAAGGACCTTTTTCTCCTAATCCTGTCCCCTACAGCCACAGAGAAAAGCCCACCTCCATCCTCTCTCTAATCACCCTTCAGGTATTTGGAGACTTATCAAATCCCACCTCAGTCTTCTCTTCTCCAGGCCAAATAACCCTTGCTCTTTCAACCTTTCTTCATAACTCTCACCTCCCAGAACCCTAATCATTTTTGTTGCCCTGTGCTGGACTCTTTTTAAACTGTCCACTTTTTTCTTGAAGTGGGGGGCTCAAAACTGGACACTCCAGGTGAGGCTTCACCACTGCTGAATAGAGTGGAAGAATCACTTCCCTTGATTTGCAAATGATGCTCCTGTTAATACAACCCAGGATGCTGCTGGCTTTCTTTGGTAACAAAAGCACACTGGTTGGCTCATATTCAGCCTATGGTCCACTGTAATCCCCAAGTCCTTCTCAGCAGCACTGCAACCAAGCCAGTCATTCCCCAATCTATATGTGTGCGCACGGTTATTCTGTTCCAAATGCAGGATTTTTCACAGTCCTTGGTGAATCCAGTCTAGTTGCTTGTGGATCATTTTTCCAGTCTATCCAGTCATTCTGGAGCCTATCCCTGCCCTCCGGAGTGTCTGCAATTCCACCAACTTGGTGTCGTCCACAGACTTGCTAAGCATGCACTCTGCCAGCTGTTGGTTGAAGAGCTGCCCCAGTCCTGGATAGGCAGAGAGCTTGAGAATGCCAAACACCACCTTCCCTATACCGCAAAATGTATTTAAATATATTCCCCTTTAACAGGTAGCACTAATGACAGGATAGGGTAAAATTCCAATACAATAGTATTCAGGCTGCAAAAGACACAGGAAGGACAAATACGTCTGTGCAACCTGTGTAGGCGACATACAGAGCACTTAAAATATCTCATGTGCCATTTGCATGTGTCACAGGGTTTTTTCCTTCCTTTAAATAAGAAGAAATGTTCCTTGCTCTCGTGCAGTACAATTAACTAATACCTCTTAGCAGAATTGACATTAATGGGTATAATCTTGGGGACACTTTTGGGAACATGCCATGCTATTTTCCATTAAATACACTGCTCAGATTGAATTTCAAAAGATCAGCATGACACATCGCTCAAACTTTGGTGTCACTGAACATTTCTGAACAGAAAAACCTAACTTGAGAAAGGTCACAATCACTATGTGAGGTTCTCAGGCTGCTCTAAAACAAAGTAAAAAAACCTCTCCCCCTTCCTGGAGTTTCACTTTATTAACTATTATAAAATTCATTATAGGCCTCTCCTGGGGGGATGGGACCCTCCTCAGAGATCATGCTCTGAGTCCTCTCCCTAGACACCCTTTTGTTTTTTGTCCAAGAGTGGTATAAAAGCACCTTCCTCAGTGGGTCAGCAAAAGCCATCACAGGTTTTTCCAGCCAGACTGATACCTGCTAACAGGGAGGGCTGGTACAGGCAAATGCTGCCAGCTTCCCCCTAGCACTATGCAAAGGGCACACTCTCTGATTACCTTTCTGCATAACCTAACTCTCAAACTTCTGGAGTGATGGGAGGACCTGACATCTGCAACAAGTTTTTCTCCCTAGCCATGAGCCAGTATCAGGGTTTCTCATGGATACACCCTGGAACTCAAGATAGACCGAATGTCATTCCCTGCCCCCTCCCCCTTGTTTTATATAGGCCAGGCCCACTTACATGGATAGGCCCTGATGTCTCTGCAGACACTGGAGATCTATATGGACTCTGAAATCTCAAGGGGCAATCAAGCTATACTATACCCCCTGCACCACTGCCTGGGTGTACCAGTCCTTTGGGTGGGCTACCATTTTCCCTTCTATTTTACAGATTCTTTTCCTACTGGGAGATCCAGACCTTTGGCCTCAATGGGAGCATATCTCTCTATCCTCATAGACAATGAGGGAAAAGGGCATGAAAGTCTGGAGGCTTTTCCCCAATTTCTGCAACTGAATTTTCTTTCACAATCTGCTTTCTCAAGAAAGCACATAATAGCAGGGACTACAAATTCCCCCAACCAGCTGCCTAAGCCTCTGTATTCATTCCCTGCCTTGGGGTCCCTGAGTCTCTTCAGTTCTCTCCCCAAGAACTGCTCCCTGAACTTGTCCTACAGATCTAACACTGAGGTCTCTCCATCGGTTAGACACTCAAACACTCTGAAATGTTCACCCCAGCACAGACAGCAGCAGTATCTGTTGACAACTCCAAAGGCCTCAGAGACATCATCCCCTTCATGAACAAAGAAGAACTAATCCGCACTGGCAGCCCAGGTGAGTGACTGAGTTATTGAACCTGCGGGGCATCAGCTCCCAGTATTGTGGCTCCTGCTCCTTTTGGTCTCCTTCCCAAATTTACCCCCAAACTAGCAGCAGCTATAGTGTGGCTACAGTTTGGTCAGCTGTCACTTCTCCCAGTTCAAGGTTGCTTCCATTTTTGCCCTTGTGCACCTCTCTTGAGGTGATGTTGGCTGGCAGCACTAAGAAGAGGAGCTAGCCTCAGAACGTCTCCTCCAGGGAAATCTACCTGCTCTTCCTTCTCGTTTCCACTGATGCTAATAGATCTCCAGGTCTTTCCTGGACACCTGGAAAAGCAGCTAGAAACATGGGAGGAGTAGCGATGATGACAAGCCAAATCATTTGGACCTCCCAACAGGTGCTTCTTGTACTACAGTTTGCAAAGTGCTGGTGGCATTGGACCACAGGCACCTGAGAGCTAAGGTTTGCTTACCTGATACATAACTAGTGCATAGCAACATGTACCATGTACAACTGCTCTACATACAGTACAGTAGTATTAAATTATGAGAATCAGCAAAATAACTAGCAAGTCCATCAGAATGGCACTGCCCACTTCAGGAAAGACCCCAGTTGTCTTTCCTGCCTAGTGCAGCGGGGCTGGACCCAATGATCTTGCGAGGTCCCTTCCAGCCCCTAACAACTATGAATCTATAAATAACTGTGTTCATTCCCTCAGTGTTTCCTCAGCTCTGCTCCATGCCTGGACTGAGTTATCCAGACATGGTTTGACCAGCATGAACCATCTTATCTTTCAGAACATTACGCTGACTGCTATTTTACATTCCAGCTGTAAACAGGAGTTAGTTTATGGAAAAATGATGCTAATAAATAAAATCAGTGCTTTAACTGTGCATGATGTCACCAAAACATGGGACCTCTGTTACCCACCTCACCATGGCAGAAAAAAAACAGGATACTTCAACTAACATGCTAAAAAGGAAGCCATTTTTTTCAAGTCTTACCTTTGTCCATCCATGAGCAAGCAGTAAAGTGACGCTCGTCGTGTGAGAATGTACTGATTCCATGTAATTGCTGAAGCATTGCCCGTCTGGAAATGTAACCTACTGCCACAAAAATGCATGCATTGCAAAAGGACAACAATTGAGCCAACCATCATCATGACATTTATATGAAAGCAGCCCCGAGCAGTTACAATCCTAGCACGGTTTCCTTGGCTGACACAGTAGTCCTGCTGCAGTGTGCTGGTGACTTTAGAAGGAGGTTTGATTTTGTTTTTTGGAGTGTTCAAAAAATAATTCAAGAATAGTATTTTCTGTCTTTTAGTTCAAGTCTTTTGAAATAAAACCCAGTCTTGCCACCCTTGCTGAACAACCCTCTTAGCAAATATTTTTTTCTCTTGGCTTATTGGGAATAACACTGCAGTTTCCTCACTTCCCCATGCAGTTAAAAAAAAAATGAGAATGGTAGTGAAAATGAACGTGGGTGCTTTTGATTTATGCATAAGGGGAATATTCTCCTTTCTCTATACACATTTACTGATGCAAGGGCTTTGAAAGGGGAATATATCCCTGTATCATCTCTTCAATGGTGGTGTTATTGTGATTATGTCAAAATAATAGAATCAAGACTAACGAGGAAGCATAAAATCCTTCATTTTTATGGTCAGAAATTGTGAAAGCAAAAAGTATCACTCAGTACGCAGAACGCAAGAAAAATACCAATGACTAAGATGAACATTTTCACTGTATGATATACATTCACTATAAGAGACCTGCAATCTATAGTCAACTACTTACTGTTCATTTGTAGTTTTATAATGTGCAGTGTTAAATTAATCAATTTTATACTGATCTGTTTAAACTGATCTGTTTATAAATTCTGTTTAAGAATGACATCAATACTGTATACAAAACCAGGAAAATCTGGCAGCAAAGCTAGGCAGTCAAAAATATTTATACACTCCGTGTTTGCATATTTCTGTAAGTTCCAAGCCCTAAATCTGTGATATAACAGAAGCCTGTGACAATATCAAAATGCTCGCTTGTCAAAATTTTAATACATTTTGTTTTAATGAAGTCCACTATTTCATAAATATCCAAATTACTGATTTAAACCGGGGCAGATCTCAGATAGTGATTGTAAACAAACATCCATAAAATTAATCTCCAAATATTATTTCAGAGACAGAATCACCACACAGACATAGACAGGGACTGAACCAAATCACTGACGGCAATGCTTCAGCAACACAGAGGGGCAAAAGGATAGGAGCTAACATCACAGGGTATTCAAACAACAAGAGCAGTACACATATATCTGGCTAAAGAAACATCTCCAAACACATTTTACTATTGCCACTCTAAAGCTCCATTATGTTTTAAAGCAATGCACTAGAAAGCAGCAGAAGCTGTTTTAAGCACAAAAAAGTGCCAATGCAAAATTATTGGGAATTTTAGAGAGCCTGCTGGACTGATTCAGGCACATTTCCCTGTTTTGGCCTTTGGACTGCTTTGGTACGAATGTACCTAAATCTAGTATCCTAGAACCCGATCAGGTGAGATGCCCAGGCCTAACAGGAACAGGCCTCAACATTATTTAATAGTTGCTAAAGATATTTAACACCTTATTCTCCACCACATTGTACCAGTTGAAATTGTGGTAGCTCCAATGATTTCAATGGATTTATACTGGTGTAAAACGACAAAGGTTCCAGCTCTTTAAGAACATAAAAACTTAAGTCACAATGTTTGTTTTTTTTAATCTCTATTCTGCTTCCTCTAGAGTGTGGGTAAATTTAGGCCTGGGTTTTTGTTCGGCCTGTTTTAAAACCATAAAAAGAGACAGTGAAAGCAAAAATGCCATTTGATATGAAGCACAAGACGCAGTTATGCACTTTCATTGCAATAGGCACTTAGTTCTGTAGACGTTAAATACTGGTATTTAATAGTGTCTGTCAGTGTCTACTGTATGAGCCACTTGTCTTTACTGATATGATTAAAATGTTTTCACATTCAAAACAGTATGGTCATGATCTGAATTTAGGATTAAGGCACTTTTAGAATTTCAGCTGTTGGCATCTAGGGTTTTAATTTGAGATCTTATTTGATTTAAAGAAACAAACAATGTAGAGCTTAGGCCAGAGTCCGAAACTGCTTATCACAACCTAAAATATCAGCTCACACAATATCAATTTCTGTTTATGTTATGTTGTTTATATGGCAGGCATATTTTTGTAAGATTTTAGGTGAAGCACTCTAGGGTAGAAGAGTATATAAGAATGATAGAGGAAAAAGTTAACTCCTCATATAGGGTAGGAGCCAAACCATGTCATTTTGCGTTAAGAAATGCAGTCTGGAACATTTACAGTGAAACATAAGTTCTGATGGGTTTTTCACTTGCATACTTGTGTGTATTATACCTATTAGTATGTACAGAAACTATGAAATACTTCATATTTGAAAAACACTTGGAATAGCTTTTGACATATACTATTAACATCAGAAATATGAATACAGTTCCCCCACCTGTATGTGTATAACTCCTTGAGATCTGCTAATTGGAGCTTCAGAAGCACTAGGGAACTTCAACTTGAAAGAAGTTTTAAAATTAACTTGGATACTGGAAAACAATTTCTTCTTGTTACAATTAATGGTAGGCAAATGGAATAATTGCAAAATTGAAATACTCAACGTGCAGTGCAAAACTTGACCTTAGTATTCAATAAGTTTAGAATATTTCACCATCTTAATGTGGAATCATATAGAGAGTCACGTCAAGTCAGTCCTGAGGCTGCTGCGACAGTTGGTGCACCTTAAATGCTGTGCATCGTAAGTGATCCTTCAGACAAAATGACTTGTGGTGCCCATCTCCTCTTCAGGTATGGATGGCTGTTGGCTCAAAGGGAGCTCATCTGCCCCTTGACAGGCTTTGCTTTTAGCCCTGCTGGGTGTCCACACACCCTCCTCACCCAGGCTAGCCCAGACAGGGGCACCGGTTTAGTCACCGACAACCTGACCATGGAACAGGCTGTACTGGTTTACATGTACCAGATAGCCGACCAAGAGAGGCCAGGCCTGACAGGCATATAGAGAGTATCTTGCATTAAAGCAGATACTGGATAACTGCAGGACAGAATCATAGCCATAGAAAAATAGGCCTGGAAGGGATGTCAGGATGTCACTTAATGTAATCCTCTGCTCAAGCAGGCATCATCCCTGTCTAAACCATCCCAGATCTGAGCTTAAGAACTTGGAGTGAGTCTCCAAAATTCTCTGAGCAATTTGTATTGGTCCTTAATCACATGCATAGAAGCGTCCTCCTAATACCAAATGTTCTTAGTTAACAGCCTTCCATTTTTATTTACTTAAGAAATAAGGAAAATGGGAATCTGTATATGAGAAGAACCACACTGAGGAAATAGTCTCAGATCTTTTCCCCTTGTTTACTTAAACTCAAGACAATGGTGGGTTACCAAAAATTTTAACAAAAAGTCCTCCTTTGCCTGTGAAAATTCCCATGTACATGCCAAGAGGTGCACGTACTTTTACAGAGAAACAGGAGTGAATGGGAATGATTTGTTTGTTTTCTAAGGTAAACAAAAAAAAATTTTTCATAATAAAAAAAACCCAAGGAAGGATGCAATACCACTGAGCAAATTTACACCAGTGCACTTTGCTAGAAATGCTATTACTCTGCTTTGAAACAATTTACTGAATATGTAGCACAGGGCTCAAGTTGGGTAGTTTGTGATGGGGCACAAGGAGCATTAACCGATGTGCAGGCCCCCACTCTAACTCATGGTGTTTTATGTAAAGTGCCATGAGTTAAAGCCCCCCCCGCCATTGGCCTGTTGGGCTGGGTGCGAGGGAGGATTGAGCCTGCTTGCAGGAGCCCAAGGAGCTTGTCTGCAGCAGAGGACCCACTCCTTTCCCCCAGCCCCCAACCAAACTTGGTTTTGACTTGCACTGAGTAAGGTGGGACAATCATTTACACATGCAGTTTGAATGGCAATTAATTTGAATTAGTCTTGATTGTCCCAGGACAAAGTGTTTATTTGGATACTTTGTAGGTTCTTATGGTGGAACAATGGGCTCAAATATCTGGAGGATCCTGGAATAAAAGCCTTTGTCCTAGGGCAAATTAGTCATCCTTATTTGACCTGAGTTAGCAGTGGGCAGAAATGGAAGGACTTCACCAGACTCTGGGAAATCCCCCTCATCCCAATGGTGATTTGCTCTTAGAATTCAACAGCCTCTTCTTGCCCCTTCTTTCAAGTTTCGCAGCTTGTGCCTGTCCCAGGGACAACGGGACTAGAGGGAGACCCCGGCCCAGAGCCAGAGGAAATACTCACTTATGCTTCGCAGGAGGTGGGAGCAGTGGCGGCGTGCAGGCCGGGGAACCACCCGCGCGGCTCGTTAGCCGCGCTTTCATACGGCTGGGGCGGAGGACGTCAGAGAGAGGCGCCGCTCAGCGGAAATAAAACGCGGCCCCGAAGGCAGAGGGGGCGCGCTGTGAGAGGACATGAAGCCCAGGGGGAAGCCCGGGAGTGGAACCGGGCACCCGCAAGGGGCCTTGGCCATGGGCCGAATAGGCTGCAGCAGCGCCGGGAGCGCCGGAGGCTGGGAGAGCCGCAGCGCCGAGGAAGAGGGGCGAAATTGACGGGGGAGCCGGCAGAAGCTCCGAGGAAGAGCCCAGAGAGGAGGGAACCAGGGGAGCCCAGGCAGAGACGCCGGCGGGGCGTCGGGAAAGAAGGCCGCAAGGGCAAAGAGGGCCCTTGACGCCCAGTCCTCGTCCGGGGACAAGGAACAGAAGGTCCGCAACCAAAGGTGGCATTGGCCGGGGTGTAGGGGAGGTCAGAGCCCCGTGAGAGCCCGCCCAGGGGCGCTTTGGTGCTGGAGGCAGCAGAGAGGGGGACCCCCCTGCTGGGGGCCCAGCCGCGACCGCGGTCGGCGAGTTCCGGGGACTCCCCAGCGAGAGCGGGGCACATCCGGTTAGCCACCCGCACAAGAGTTGCCCAAGAGCGCCTTTTGGAGCAGAGGCAGGCACAGTGCCATAAGCATTCATCAAGCACATTCAAGTTATGAACCTGCATTTGTGAACATGG